CCCAAAACACCGGACGATTCCGTTTCTTCCCTACTATCAAACTGAAGGTCCGAATAAAATTTAGATGTTTCTTTCGATTGTGTTTCCGAACTTCGACCAAAAGTATCTCGCAAGTTTTCATACAACTGACGAAGACCTAAGAAATGCGAGTGATAAATTGTTCAGAACGTTTACGAACAGAAAATCCTACTTTGTATGACAGATAAATAAACTAGCCTAGATGAAACAGATATATGCCGTATTACCTGAACAAAAAAAAACTGCAGTTTTGTTCAAATATCGTCTTAAGGTCCAGGAAGACAACTATTGTCGGGTGCCGAAAGCGGTTCTGTGTTCAAGGACCTGTCGTAGTGTGAATATGTGGTCTATACAGCCACGTCCAGGTCGAAAAACAGCCTGGTTTACTCTAGTCTGCTCTTCACGAGCTTTAGTTGGGCTTACAAGTATTATGGAGGCTAACAATTTTTGGCACTATACCGCTTAGAGTGTTCCGTCTATCATTGTCACACGAGGACGTTTGTCATTTTTTGTACACTGAGACAATCAGTGATTAAGACCATTTGGAAGGGATTACGTATAATTTCCAGATTCAACCTAAAATGTTAATCAATCTAACTGTTCATGCTGGACTATCATCCTTAAAAGTCTTATGGACTAACATAAAAGATCCTCTCCCTCACTTCAGATGTTTTATAGGCTTTCGAACATCACTACGATTTAGAGAAATGAGATCAGGTTGTTATTTAGAATGCTTAGAGATGGGGGGTTAATGAAGTGTGGATAAACGCCAGTTGGACTGTTCCTTAAAGAGTTATGCCCTTCGGTCCAGCTGTGGGAAAATACTAATAATGGGATATTGAATATTAATCTGAACCAAAGAAATTTCTTATGCAACCACAAAGGGATAAAATACATTAATTCACAAGTTTTTGTTATTAGTGATTAAAAGACAAGCGTATTTTGGCTACTTTAAATTCATTTGCGACACCAACCTGTAGCCGGAAAAAAAATGATAGTTGCCAAAAATAAACATGTAGCTCGCAAGATCGGGGTTTGAACTCATCACTAAAATAAAGAATCTATGGTTTAATAACTTTATTCTACACGCTTATCCAAAGGGTTATCTATATGACTTTAAAATCCAGTGTACAAACTGAAATTCAGAGTCAAGAATGAGATAACCTACTCCCTACTGACACACTTAGATAACATAAAATCTGATATAAGAAAACAACTTACTCGATTTCATCGCAACGAATAAATTTGTGATAAAGAAAAAGCGAAAATAAAAAGAGGGAAATATATACATATAAACCTTAGAAAAACCTAATGACTCTAATAAAACGAGATTATGTTATCATATAACATATAACTGTTCTGCTAAAATAGACAGAACTATGAAAAGTCGCCTTAATTTTCAGAGGATAAGAAACTTTGAGATTTAAGAATGACAATGATTAGTATAATCATTGAACCGAATAGATATAATGAAAATAGAAATGGTAACTTCAGCTAGTGTACATTGTTGCTAGGACCTATGTCAATCACTTTTGCCGAAGTTAGAAGTGAAGAGTTATCGCTTCGATTAAAATTAGAGAACTCTGCTGTTTCATCTCAGTTCAAGTCTTCAGTAATCATTAATAATTATTTTACTCTAACTGTAGAATAATAATAATAATTAGTTAACATAACTAGTTCACCGGTCAGTGTATTCGGTTAGGAGTCACACCTTTAATGTCTGAGGCCAAATGATACTACTTGGTTATTCAAATTGAAGTAAATGAAGTTTGGTTTGAATCTACAGCCTCATGGTTGAAAGTCGATTGCTTGCAAAATTAATTTTGCACTAGATTTATCTAGTTGAAAACCGAAACCTCATAAAATTGAAGATTTTTTAAGCAAATAAATTAGGAATTTCACAAATTTAAAGACTAGATAATACAAATGCACGTTTATTAACATAAGATGATTCTGGAGAATGAAGGCATATTTCATATCATTAACTCGATCTATAACATCTTAAAGCAGTTGATATTATTTTTTATCTATAGTGACGACAAGCGCATGAGGTTAAGAAAAAGTTTGGGTTGGAAGGTAGAGATAAATGAAACATCCATACACAAATGCGTAAGGTACTGGATGTGAACCCCAGAGCGAACAGTAACTCTGAGATGCAGGTACATGTAGCGGACGAATCCCAAATAGGACGAAACGCGCATCCCAGACTCGACTGTTAGCCACTGTCAACCTCTGACAATAATGCTTGTTACCTAAAGGCAATGTCGAGGCAATCCGCAAACGAAGCACACAGGTTAAATAGACTGATCAATTGTAGGTCTAAACATCAATGGGAAGATTCGAACAACCAATTCAAATGAATCAATAAGAGTTTCATGAACATATCATGCTTAGTGTCACGGTACAGTTTTGGAATATGCTGATAGCTTACTAACAGTAACAATTTAATTCTTTGGGACAGGAATCTTAGAAGGAGAATCCTGATATAAAAAGGAAGACTTGCAAGATACCAGAGATGTTAGTTGAGTGAAACTACTGGTGAAAGTTAGGAGGGGGCAGAGTGAGTTAAAACAATGATTAAAATTTTCCAGACAAAGACATTATACAAACTTATGAAGCGATGAACTTGTATTCTTAGTCAGGCTTTTCATTATAAACAAATTGGTTGAGTTAATGTAGATGCAGAGATGATATAGAAACGCTATGTCTCGCCAAACCGGAACTAATTAAATTATATCAATAACTTAAATACATATTCATGTATCCAGGATCGGGTTGTAGTTATACTAGTCAGGTTCCTGAATGAAACCGATAGCTTTAACTACAAAAAAACCATCTCACTGTTACACATTTCTTGGTTCTGGATTAGAAATAAGATTTTCAAAATCAATTGAGGCCAAATAAGTCCCACCACATGACAACAGTGGCTAGAAGGTGCACATTCATAACTATTAAGCATCTTTTTAATACATAAAGGGGTTCAATGAATGTACGTTAGATTTGTAACCCCATCACAAACTAAATGAGAAGGGAAAACGACTTAAAATTAATTGACAGAACACAACAAATTGAATAATTTTTTATGCAAGATGTTCAGTGAATTTGATATACGGGATCGATCAGGTAAATTAGTTCAAGGTCGACTGATAAGTGAGAGATGGTCACAGATGTGTGCTACTGACCAAGATTTAGCTTAATTATGCGGTGAGGCAGATATATACTATGGGTTGATAATTTGACTTAAAATACTGAGGGATACATATCGATATTAGTTAGTGAATTCGTGCATATATTTTGATTTCGGCAGACTAGTAAAGGTTTCCTACATATTGCTGGTTTGCGTAATCAAGAGTAATTTCGGCTTGTGTGTAGGAAAAGTATATGTTAATATCAGACTTAGATGACCTGACCATACAAAATTTCATATCCTTATTTAAAAAAATGAAATTTCGTATAGCCACAGATAATCAAACAGTTGATACGGTAATGTGATACGAAACGCCCCATGAAATAATTAATTTCAAAATGCACAGGAGATTGGTTATTAGGAGAGACCGTATTTGTTTGTAAACAATATCTATAGTTCGAAAAATTTGAAATTAGACTTTACATTAAATTAGTTTCCCAAGTTATCAAAACAATCCCAAGAAGAATTCGCCTGAATATGTCGAGCAGTAACATTCACTCTTAGATGAATATATAACGTAACAAATGAAAACTAATCTCATGACACGGCAATTTATGAGTCAATAATCACAATGAAATGGAATAGATTACGTCACTACACATAATAGGCAAAAGTACAAATTGATAGTAAGAAGACAGGTGTACTAATATCAGTAAGAAAAATAAAATACCATAACAAAAGTTTTATCAAGAGTAGGTCGAATGTGGATAAATAGACTTAAAATAATCATTACAAAATATTAAAACCATTACGTAATAAGAAGTGTGTACATAATTAGATAGTGAAGAATATAAACGGAAACAGGCAAAGAATTACAAACAAATACAGGATGTGAAAATAATGCTAATAGTAACAAAATAAAATGTTTAAACCAAAAAAAAGAAAATTTCATTGTTATTACTGACTCGAATTGCCTTGATTGGTTTAACATTTTCATACAAATATTCATGTATATTAGAGTAAAGCCTGAGGACGATCTAATTGAAAACAATATTGTTCGTTGTTGTTCTAAAAACCTATCCGTTAGTAAATAATGATTTACTGCGATATTTCACCTAAACTAGTTATATTAGTTATATTTAGAAAATCAACTTCGAAATATGTTAATGAGCATGAACAAAATTTTGCCAATAAACTTTGGCAGATAATTGAAGTCGATTTCCAGCGAAATTAATTTATTTCTTTGTCCGAAACACAAACAATCATAGAAGTTATAAAATTTATACTTTCTAATAGGGAAATCAAAAATTTACTCAGAACAATGGACCATAATATGAACGTAAAAGATGGAAACACTCCTAAAGTTCAATACATGATATCTCGAAAATAAAATATACGTGGCATTGCGTCGGTAAACAATTGCCTGGAAGCTGTTCCATATGTATACTTTTATATAAAGTCAATTCACTAAGAATATTCCTGATTTATCGGAATACATTCTGAGCTTAATGGAATGGGTAGATGTCAGTAATCAAAGTGTAACGATGAATAATAAGAAATTTGGTCAGACCAAAAATTGTATTGAAGAGATTAAATACCGTATTATGAAAAGCGATCAACGACTGTTCCATACAGGAAATGAAGCAATAAACAACAAAGTATATAATGTCATCAGAAGAGCCTCAACCAAACATTAATTGTTCACATGCAAATAGTGATATTACGTAAAAACTCACTGATAATACTTACTTGTTACATTGTGGCTTTAAAAGTACAAGCAAATCTTAATACTAACTGAAAGCATATATATATATATGTATATATAATGAGGTGTAATATAAATGATATAACTCACGTTTGTCCGTCGACGTAACGCCTTCAACTGAACCAGTCACGTTAGTTTCTGTTTCTGCATAAGCTAGGAGAAGCGCGCGTTGAAGCTCACTTAATTTCCTACAAAAGCCGATACACATTAAGTGATAAAGGTTGATGTATTCAAACTCACTTTTGTAAATTATGTTGGAATAAAAAATATATTGGTGATTAGTTACGTAAACAAACAAAATGCCAACTAGCTCCGTTACAATACATTAAGAACACAGGGCTTTAAAAGTGGAAGGTAGAAGCTTTGAAAAACTTCGACTCTTTTTTATATATGAAGAATAAATGAACCTGCTAAATAATATAGAACCATTTAACTACTACTTATCAAAAACTGTTGGAACATAAAAACTTTGGCTTAATCGATGTTTTAAGTCTTAATACTGAAGTACGCTTATAAGGTTGATTCAGTGAAACTAGATTGATAAGTACTGAAGAACTGGATAAGAAAAAGTGCAGTGCGACTCATTTGAACCACCATCTATACATTAAATCTCAAACTTCAAACTTATTTAAAAACTACTCGGTCTATGTATCTACCCATGAAAATTCGGAACCAACTGAAGACGAGTGATGGTTAAATATTTTTCGTAATGTACGTTTTTTGAAGCAAATATTTCATATTAACAAATTGGAAATTAAAAAAACTCAATTTATAGCAACTTTATGTCAAATAAGACGATTATTTGGTAAAAATAATTTATGCCACGATGCCCTTCATATACTAAAAAATGCATCAAACAACCTCTATTATTGAATGGACATTTTTCCTGTAGATATGACAGTAGAAGATAAAGCATCAAAAAATTCATTAGGTTAAAAAATATCTCTAGTGAAATCCAATTAATATTTTGAACCATAAATAAAACAAGTGAATCGTTGTTGAAAATCTGGTAACTATAAAATGACAACTTCAAGATGTATTCCATTTGATGACAGCCAAACAAAGTAAAAGCTCCAGAAAAATCTATCACTTACTATTTCATTAGCAAAAAATAGAGCAGATCTAAAATTTTGTGATTGCATTAAAGATCAAATTGTTGATTAGCAGATGTGTATCAGTTGCAATCACAAAATGCCACTAACGCGAACATAGAAGACGATAGTGAAAATTCTGTAGTGTAATTGAAGTAGTTAGTGAATATTGTTTACGGTAGATTAATAAAATGGATAGTTTGATACTACAAAACTTGGTTTAAATTTTTGTGTGTAGTGAATGTGGAGACCGTTGAATCCGTGGCATAAACTGAGAATTCAACGATCTACCAGCAACGAAAATGACCAATGGTCACGGAATTGTGGATCAACACTGTTGGAGAGTCTTAATAAGGCAAATGTTCGAGTGCTTATTGGTTTTCAGTGACTGGTCATAAAAAGACACTCCGTGAAATAAAACTTAACCCATACTTACGTATTTCACATTGATATTTTTACAAAAAATTGTATATTTTTGTGATAAAACAACATATAAATGTTTACCGTGTTAGTTTAATTACTATGAAGTAATGTGATTACTTATACAACAGTAGGCAACTTACTTGGGAGCCTGAATACGTATATGTATATAATGATCCCCATATCCATATCCATTGATCCGACTGATCCCTTTACCTGGCAATCGAATTCTATCATCACTACAAGATCCAGCCGGAATCTAAAAATGAATATAAAAATGATCTGATTGTGACCATGAAGCATGGTTTAGAAGTACACATAGCGACGACTAAGAATGAGTTTTCCACTAAACTACGAAACACCGCTAATTTATTAATTTACATTATAGGATTGTCAAGATTTGTGATTTACTCTGAACTCATGTATCGACCAGTGTTTGACATGCATTAGAAACCTGGAGAAATTGGACAGCCGTTTTGGGCCTGGTATGAGACTCATCCGCAGTTAGCATTCACGACTCCGGCTACTAGCAGGACTCGAACCTAGAACCCTCGGTTTTCAGCGCGATCACGTATTCTCTGAACCACTGAACTGGCATCCAACGGAGCTAATGTCTAGCTTCGGTCAATCCACAGTCTTGGTACAGTTTTAGCAGTTACATTGACTGAGAACTGGACGTAATCCCATCCAAATGGTCTCAATCACTGATTGTCTCAGTCTACTAAAAAGGACAAACGTCCTCGTGTGACAATGATAGACGGATCACTCTAAGCAATATAGTGCTAAAATTGTTAGCCTCCATAATGCTTGTACGCCTAACTAAAGCTCGTGAAGTGCGGACTAGAGAAAACCAGGCTGTCTGAACTAGTGATAGGGAGTGAAGCAGTTGAGCGTGTTGACCGCTTCACTGATCTGGGAACTTTCATCAGTCTCAGTAACATCTAATATCTTGGGACAACCCAGTAGGCAATGCTGTTGTAAGGCAGCTACTCAAGGTCTGAGGGCGAAGTCGGACTGCTGACTGCAGAGGGGTGTGACAGCAGTAAGGTGTTTCCCTCGGACAACCGGCATCTACAGCGATGCTGCCTTCTCACAAGGAACGAAGGGTTAGAAAAGGTCGACCCTAAAAATGTCACACCTCACACTACCTCACGGATTTCCGTCTTCGGCGGTAAGGATGCCCACTAAGGGCTTTTAAGAGCGGAGCTAACACTCAAAAAACTTTTCATAAAAATGCCGTGCGTGAACGGCCTCAAGCAGTTGTCCCTTGGACTCTGCGGTCACGCTCCCAGGTTTCTAGGACTGACACTAATATACCTTCCTTTTCAGGTTCCTCAAGAAACACCCGCAGTGTGGGCAGCCAGGAAGTGACATCCGCCTTCATATCCGTGACAGCGTGCGAGACCGAATTAGTCACAGTCAAATTTTTCTTACCCCCCCCCACTAACATACCCCTTAACTTCACCACTAACTCTTCTCACATTCGTTTATCACCCCGCACCGCTAATACAAATGATGCAACCTCACGAAACGTTATTCCTGGTCTCCTGAAACTTTGTTCTAGTATACATGTTGGAGCTTTCGATGTACGGAAATTGTGTCAAACAGGGCAACAGGCTTCCTTAGCTAGGACTTTAGAATCTCGCTCAATCGATGTATGCTGCGTCTCGCAAACGAGCATACACGATCAGATTTCACCTTGTCAAAATAAAGAAGCAGCCCGGTTTACTCTTCGTGTATCCGGTAGCCCTAATGCTGCTTCCAGGGGTCTCGCTGGTGTAGGTATAGCATTGAGTCGTAGGGCAGAACTAGCTGTCCTAGACTGGATTCCACTAGATAGTCGCTTGTGCGCTGTCCGACTAAACAGGACAGTAAGGACTCGGAAAGATAGGGACACTAACCGTTGCCTCTTCGTCGTATCTACCTATGTCCCCACTGACTGCAGTTCAGGCGAGGTGAAAGATGAGTTCTACAGAAAGCTTTCGGACCTCCTCCAAAATGTTAGGCGCTTTGAACAAATAGTGGTGCTTAAAAGAACAGTTGAAAGGTACATGTGGTAAATTACTTACATTGACTAACATATTCTCATAAATTCCCTGTACACGCATTTTCCCACCTAAAGCAGCTTGAGCAAGTGAGACAGTGATATCGGAGTGGATGTCTGCACCTTCGCGGCGAAATTGTCGACTTTTCTCCACACGAATTTGTAAGAATATTTCGTTATTATGTTGACCGTCAGTACCAACAGACATCCGCAAAACTTGACCATCTTCTACCCCTATAGACACGAATGCAAGAAACGTGAATTTAAACAATGCAAGGTTGACATAAAGCTGATAAACCAATAAAGAATGAGTCTAGAAGAAGAATGAATGGTGATTGAATTGTTCCTTAAGTACGGACTTGTGCACTTAGCTTTGAGGTACGAAGAAGTTGTGAGATTCCGTAAAACAACCAGGTTTCTCAAAACAGTCAAGTGATTTACGAACCTAAGGACTGGAATGCCAGCCTTCAAACTACCAAGACGTGGAAATTATCCTTAGTGGACGAAAATTTTCTACACCATCAGTTATCATCAAAAAATAATGTAGATATTATTCAAAACTTTGTGCTACTGAATATATACAGATGTGACTAATGAAAAATCGAAAATAACTAAAAGAATTATTTGTCAGCGTAAGTAAACGACTTTTAGTTGTGTATTCTCTCACAGGGTAGATAAAAATAACAGGATATACTCATAGTAATGCGAAAATTGCATCAATTACCTGCAGGGATGGACACGGTGATTCGATTACGGCCAATAATTTTGCCTTTACCTTCACATTCTCGACAAGGGTTTCGTACAATGGTCCCGGCACCGTGGCATCGCCTACAAATACTCCGCAGTAAAAACGGTCCAGTGTTCATGTTTTCGGCTCCTGTTCCACGACAGCTTGGACAGGTGGACTTCTCTGTCCCGGGTTCAGCACGTGAACCTTTACAGCGTGGGCAATTAGTCACCATATTGACATTTATCTCCTTATTTACACCACAAGCAGCCTGTAAATCGCAACATTAAATAAAAAACATTGAGTCGTGATATTGTATTTAAGGGTTGTAAATGGTCAGAAGATGATTACGAAGTTAGGGAACTAAAAATATTGGATTACGTAATCAATTCATGACAATCAGTTGAAAACGCGTAATAAGTATGTAGTATCATGGACTGTTATAAAAATCATCCGGAGAGTGACAATGTGAGATATATTCACAGAACCAAGATGACACATATAATGACCGGAAATAGACAACTAAATCATAAACGCTAACTTAAAATAATCGATAAAAAGGATGTTGAGGCATAAAATTACGAATTTATTTGAGTCTACGGAAACAAAGCAAGATTTTTAGCACTGACGAACGTAACACGTCATCATTAATTTACATCTTTAAATGAATTGTTCAGAGGTTTGAGTTCATAAGCAACCGTTCTGTACCACTCCACAGACATAAAGCAGATATTGAAGGTTGAAAGTATATGTACGTTACTAGGGTTTGGTTTTCCAGGTCGACGCGTTGTATCTGTAATAAACTGCATGATTTGTTTCTGACATCAAATCTACACTAATTGTGTGCTTGATTGAGCTTTATCTTTTTTATGTTTACTAGCGTACTGCTTCAATTTAACTGTCGCACAACAATGGAATTTTTGTATTGGGAGTACTTCTTGACCCTATGTTAAAACTGGTCATTGCAGCAATTAATTATAAGTGGTATGTTATGGACGGAATATCACCAGTTTTTCAATCACCAGCAAGCATCCAAGAAAGATTAGCTATTATGCAGACAGTTATCTTTTGACTAATGTGTCCTTACGATACCCATCTAACCCAGTATACAAGCAAAGGCTGCTTTGAATTTCATGTACACTCTACTGTTAACTCTAGTATTAAACTTACGTCCGTCTGTGAAAAGATAAATTAGTATTTCAGGCACTCACAGCTGGTGAGTAGCCGGATCAAACGTAGCTGAGCTTACAGCAATTAAATTGCCAGATATTGTGATCGAAGAATATTGATGGGCAGCCTATGCTCCATTGGGGGTAACAGGCGTTACTAAGTAAGCTATAGTCTACAAGAAATTCGAGTAAACTTCTGAGTGCCGGTTGAGATAGGAGCCAATTATGAACGAAAACGGAATCTATAAATCAAGCGTAAATTAACCACCTGTTAACATACTATTGAGATTAGCAAAAGTTATAAAGTTGATTACCACACAGTTTTCATAGCATGGTTTTAGATAGTATGCAGCTACCAACATAGTTTCAACTATCCCAAATGCATGCTGTGAACCGAATTCACAGACACTAAATTACTTGTTAACTGGATAAAATATATCCTGTATTTACAAGCACAGAAACCCAACCTTATAGTTATAACGACTCAAAAAACTGAGTGGAAATACGTGGTGGACCATTAAGTTACAAAATACTTTGGAGATTCTGTTTTTTGAGCTGCATGATGGTCGTTAAAGAACTGAAATCCCACCATCATAATTATGCAATATGTTCAATAAGTACTTGAAAATCTAATATAACCAAAATATTACAGATTACACAATTAAATCACTTTCAAGACATACCTGCTCGAAAGTAAGATTAACGGTAATTTCTTTTGTTGCATTGGAGCCAAATATCGATTCTGCAAAGCCTTTATCTTCAGTGGACCACTCATTGAAGGCGAATTCGCTATCACGAAATATACGTCTAAACAACTCCTCGGGATTTATGTTGGAGTGAAACTCAAAACCATGTGACTGACCACCCCCGAAGTTGTTCTGTGTGGATGCTGACCCGAACTTGTCATATTGGCTTCGCTTATTTTCATCTCCCAACACCTAAAATCGAGTGAGAATGAGGTTCCCAAAGCTTACTTCATACGCCTCACTAACTTCCTGGAACTTCTGTGCAGCCGATTTATCGTTTTTATTGACATCTGGGTGATACTTTTTTGCTAGCTACAAACGATATAGAAGCACGTAGATACCAACCTGATAATAAGCTTTTTTTATTTCTGATTGACTAGCTGATTTACTGACTCCAAGTATATTATAATAGTCTTTCAGCAAAGAAATCGAGGTGTAAAAGTTCCTAAAAGTAAACTTTTGGGTACAAACTTAACAATATAGTACAGTATAGTATACTAACCTAGCTTATGCACAAACGAGATACCTTTTAACGCCATGCCGCAGCGTATATCTCATGTGTCGCGGCGTTGGAGTTTTAATGAAGGGACTACTCACATGTTGTCATGTAAACAAACTGCATCCTCTGCATTTCCCGGTTCCTTAAGGGTTAGAATAAGACAACTGAGTGAATTATAGTTTGTTTGCAAATGAGGCATCATATTACTGCCTGAATTCACCTAATGTACTTACTGATAAATAAATAACCTCTTCAGTCAGCAAACAGCTCATACATTGATAAATTTGAACCAACTCACGTAGAAACAGAAAATTCTCTAAATGTTTATCACATATTTGTGGTAAATGAAAGGATCAGGAAGTAAACTTATCCTCTTTTATCTGAAGGTTGTTTGCACCCAACCTGCTGATATAAAAAGGTGAGAATCAAGTTTTCTGTCAGACGCATATATATCCATTTTTATTTTCCTTCTTCAACATTGTGCCTAGTTGCTGAAATTTTTTGTCATTTATTCTTAGATAAACTGACGTACACTAGGCAGTGGCTCAACAGGAACATAAAAAATGGTAAATATTTAGACTATTAGGTGAATAGAAGTTTTCAGAAATTGCTTTGTTACACATCACTGAACATCTATACGTTCCAAACATGATACTGATATAAGAACGCACCAGTAAAGTGGTTTATGGCAAGCAAACGCTGTTAACAGAAAATAATAATCTTGAATCTCTACTTTTTACCTCTAGGCTCCATTGTTCGACAACAATGCATCTGGCTAACGACAGACAAAGAGGCTTGTTAAACAAAGACGCGTGATAAATAATATTTAGTTTATTGCCCTAATTAATGCAACAGTCCAAAAGTTCTTGTAGGAGGAGACCGAGGAATTTTAAGTTGGCTATTGAAGCTATTAAACAACCAAAGAATCAGCTAGCCCAAGGATCTATGTACGTGTTTTGAAACACTAACTCCCTATTTTCTTTAATAGTAGATGCTTCACACAAAACTGTAGACAGCGACCCTAATCGACAAGTTAACTAGGCATATCAACAGACTGTGTTCTTCTTAAGAAGGCTCACTCCAGCAGAGTCGACATACTCCACTTTCGGATGGGAACTGATAGTAATCTACCTAACCATCAAGCATTTCCGACAGCTTTTTTTCAGTACATCTACTGACTGGCGCACAATCATGTGCTGCGAAAAAGAACTCTATTCGTCAAAGGTTTAATAAGAAATTCGGTATGCAGCTGAGAAGTAATTAATTCTGAGTTCGTAAGCTGTTTCAGAATTTACTCGTAAATGCTGTTTCAGATGGGAAGAAAGGTAGGGGTATATGAGATTCAAACTTATCATTGAGTAATTTAAAAACTGTGATTAGTCCTCTACTATTCCTTATGTACAATAAAGGAAGTCGGGTTAATTCAACCAGTTACTTGTCGTAAGGCATGTATGCGATCCCAGGAATCAATTTGGTTGCGATTCTTCCTTCTGAGGCTGCAAACTATCACCATCACTTGTAATTGCCCTACATACTTTGATATCGTGAGCGTATGGTAAAACCGACGAGTATTGAAGACTTGAAAGTAACTTCCAAAATATCCAATATTTTTTTCATAAGCTAGTATAAACTAGTTGATTGCCCTATGCTGGATTCTTGTTCTTTCGGCACGGTTCCAGGTGTTTGGCAGTGTCCAATGAATGGGGTCTAGCCACTCGACTACCTGATTCTCGTGACTTAGCAGTTGTTTGTGATTATTTCCCGTGATTTGAATGAATGCGTTTGTTTCAGGGCAGTTAGGTTTCTGGATACCAGCAGCTATCACATTACCAGGCCGGAGAACAGTTAGTCACATTGCGGAGAATAATACGAAGATTTTAATGCTAGTAAAAATAAGCTTTCAGGAATAAGTAAATAGATGAATAATTTGGTTTATTAATTTGGAGTGATAATGAGCGAGATAGATTAAATTAGTGATCTGAGGAGATGACATTAATAACGACTAGCAGGTCTCAAGACACGCATCAGGTGCAACATGTCCACGAGGGAGATGATAATTCCTATGTGAGTATGTAATTATCAAGTCTCTTCTTAAAGCTTTCCATGAAAGGGGCTGTGGTCAACTCAGCTGGAAGAGCATTCCAAGTTGCAACGACTCTTAATGAGAAAACGTTTGCGCAAACCTGAGTATTCACCCTTTGATGCGCGATTTTTCGGGGGTTACCTCAAGGGTAGTGGTGGTGACGCATCGGTAAGATGCTCACGTTGAGGTGGTTTGGCGTGCTTAATATGTTGCACACCATGACGAGATCACCTCTGATTCTCCTGTAACACAGATAGAACAATCTAAAGTGCTGGAGTCTGTCTTCATAAGGTTTGTTTTTGAACCCTTATCTATTGATTTGTTTATCTCTGTACTCGGTCCAAGAGATGGTCGTCTCTTTTAAGGAGAGGTGTGACGACGTTTTGAACCTCAAGGTATGGGCGCACATATGTCTTAAACAACGCTGAGAATAACTGTGGGATGATAGCACCAAACTGTCTTCACTTAACGTGAAGGGTTGCATGTGCCTTGGCTGCATCCCTTATATAGTTTCGACTGGTGTGGAGGCTTCCACAGGTTATTTATCCAAGATCGCGCTGTGAGGAGACATTAGGGAGCAGACTTTCAGTGAGAGTGTAAATCGTTTCCGTCATGTGGGGTAGAATGTACATGACGTGACATTTCGGCTGGTTTAATTTTAAACCGTTTTGCACTGCCCACTCCTCAACGGATCTGTCTTTTTGGAACTGAGTCGAATCCTCTTCGTTCCTAATGGACCTCCAGGTCTGTGCATCGTCTGTGTATATCAATTCCGGCAAGCTAACTGTGTCTAACAGGTCGTTAATGAATATCGGGAAGAATGGTCTTCTGTGAAGCTCCCAATGTTGGGACTCGCCAACTCGCGTGCACTCTATTTACCTTGGTACGAAACTTTCTGTTCTCCACGTGGTTTCTGAGCCAAGATAGGAGTGGGTCAGGGAAGCCCATTTCGGCAACCTGTGCGATTAGGAGTGCGTGTGTGTCGGAGGCTTTCGAAAAGCCAATAAATATCATGTACACCAGTGTCTTTCGTTCCAAGCTGGATGTCCAACTGTTCTATGCTGTGAGAAGACTGGATTCGCACCACCTGCCTTTCCGAAAACTGTGTTCAGCTTCACAGAGTATTTTGGCCTTATTCATGTACTCCCTGATCTGTTCGTTCACCAGCCCTTCCATTAACTTTAATAGGATTAGTAGTAATGCGACTGTAACAGGCTGGGTCCTTTCTATCTCCTCTTTTGAAGGTTGAATCTTGTTTCCATTCAGCTGGGAGTTGGTGTGCTTAAATAGGTCTTATATCGGTGAACAGAGCTATTCCGCAAATTGTTGCAAGACTATAGGGTGAATATTGTCACAACCTGATGGCTTTCCTGGGCGCGGAGACTTTAGTTTCCTTGGTATTTAGTCTGGAGTAGTACGGATATTATAATAATTCCCTAAGCCGTCAGCTGAACATGTGGATGCCTGGTTTGACTGATCGATGAAATTTGTACCGAAGATCTCAGCCATCACTAGGTTGGTAATGTCTCCCAGATTCGGACTTTTAAGAAAACGCAAACCCTGATTCGTAAGTCTTCTTTTCGTGACGAACCTAAACAGATGCTCAGGGTTTGTCAGCTTCATCTGAAAGCACCTCCTATCACTTGGAACTTTGGTGTTGAATCTGTTTCTTAATACCAAGTAAGAACTACCATCGGAATCCTTCAGAAAGATCTTTCATTTGTGCTGGGCTCTCCTGCCCGCATTCAATGCTGCGCCCAACCTATGTTCTCCTATTTCCAGGTGTGTGGTGTGATTGCGGTTCATTGTCTACGACAGCATTCTGGATGATGCCTCTCACCTTTTGCCGGTGACCATCCACTGTCAGCCTCCACCATTCCAGTGACCGTGTGGCATGTAGAGGATTTTATCTCATGCGCGCGTAATTCGCTCCATTGTTGCAAAGGTCGGGTCCGTTTTCGTCCTACATGAGTGTTTCGTTTATGACCTAGTGAAAAGAGGCTGTGCCATGGTCACTTCTTCCTATCGGTGTATGGACGTGAACATTTTCGACCAGGAGCTGATCATTTGATAACAAATAGTTGAGGTTTGAGGAGTTTCCCTCTTCAGTCCACCTGTTGGCACTGCATACATGCACAGTAAGCCCAGAGCTTCTAATAACTGCTCCAAGTCGACTCTGGAACCTAACAGTGGGAGTTTCACTCTGATTGCTGAGATTTAGAGATGGGGTATTGAAATCTCTAGCTAAGAGTATTTGATCAAACTTTGGAAGTAGCAGTTACAGTTGTGCCCCTGTAAGTTTATCTTTCTGGGTCTTAGAACCTAGGGGAGGCCGATAAATCCCTCCGATGAAGTATTTCGTGCCACTTGTGTGGAAACAACACCAACATGATTTCATCACCCCAGTTATTTGGATATTGAAATGTCGCTCAGCTTTTAAGTGACTGTTTAAATATACAGCCACTCAGGCTCCTGTCTGGTGTTCCCTATCGCTTCAGAAGAGTATCATAACGTGCAAAATCACTTCGTCGTATGAGGCGTCAGGGAATAGCCAGGTTTTGGTTAGGATTATGATCTTCAGATCCATTTCAGGGCATATGTCCCTGATTTCTAACAGCTTACCCCTTAGTCCTATTACGTTGCTATAAAGGCACTTGGTGGTTTGTTTCAGCAACTGATGCACCTCTGCAACCACAGCCGTTGCCAGATTATGTGGGAACTAGCGTCTGCAGGTTCTCTGCCTGTGTAGTCAGGTCATTCAGCGAGGCTATCATCTTCATGTTTGGTGCCAGGGGTTGTTGATCGGGGTCAACTGTGAATTTCTAGCGTTTATTATGGCCTTCCTACTGTTGTCTCAAGGATGTTTCGGCTTTCGAAGCACCTAATGTGACTAGAGAGAGGTCGATCTTCGAGGAGGAACAAAACTGTCCCTGAAACTGAACCCTTAGCTAGACAAC